TATTTATCTTAGGTTGCTACGTAAAGTCCGTATTATTAGCCAGCGGGCGCGTGCATTGCACGTCCCTGGCTGGGCGCCTGCTGTCACCCACACGCCGCTACTCCCGACGCCTTCTGTTTTCCTTTCTCAAAGTGTGGACCCCACAAAAATTTCTCTCTTGCAAAAGAAAGAAATGAGAAAAAAAAACCATAATCAACATTAGTTGAAAAATCAAGCACAATTTTTAACTCTGAAAAAATCATAAAAAATCCACAGGTTTGGATACTCTTATACACTAATACTCAGTTACAACAAAATTCTGGGGAGAGGTGGAAGGTGTGGTTGAGTAGAATGATTCATTCATCCTTAACCAAAGGTCAAGGGTTCGATCATTGACTTTGGGTATGGAGCCGCTTTAGTCACTGTATCCGACGGTGAAAACCTTAGGTATAAACAAAATCTAATACTCACAACAAAGTTAGCTTCATATCTCCTCTTTTTTTTTTTTTTTTTTTTTTTTTTTTTTTTTTTATAATTTTTTTAACTCATTGGTAGGCTTTTACGATTGCTAGAAAAAGAAAAAAAAAAAAAAACTTATGAACTTAATCAAAACTATGAACTTAAATTTGACTTGATTATTATGAAGTATTATTTATTTGTAGAGAGGATGATATTAGAACACAAGGTATTAGCTTTTGAAAAAATAATTATAAAGAATGTCCTAGTTGAAAAATAATTAGAACATTCTATCTTGCATTTATTTATCATGATTTAATAAAAGAATCACGTCCTTAATTAACTCAAACTTTCAATAGGTCAAAGTGTTCACCAAACATGTAATAACGTTTCTAATAATGTTATTTATCTTAGGTTGCTAAGTAAAGTCCGTATATGTAATTGCAAGTAAAAATAAGGTCTTATATATGTAATTATTAGCCTAAAATGTTTTGTTGGAGTTTAGAAGGTCGAAAAGCTCTCAATAGGTTGATAAGTACTAAAAATGGTTTAGTTTTCAAAAAAAAAAAAAAAAATGGTTTAGATCTAAAGTCCATTCTTTCATGGAGTAAGCTAGCTTTTATAGTTCTTTAAAGTCCCTTCTTATGCAGAGTAAGCTACCTTTTATAGTGCTAGACCATATACAAATGTTGTAATTTCTGCTGACGAGGGGCATACGTCGCTCATCCATAGGTCGGTCATAACACATGTTAGTGTTGAAGATCTCTCGGACGAGTGTGGCAATTGAAATGACATTTCAAGTGTGCTGCTTGTCCTTCTGAGTAAGTTTATTCCCTATCTCGAAAGTCAAAAACCACACTACTAGAGTAAAAATTTGACAAATACACTTCGTATATCTCATCATTTTTCATTTTTTAATTAAATTGTTATGGAAGGGTAAACATTTTTAACTACCAAACAATCTATAAAACTAAAATTACCTAACAACAATATGTGTGCACTTTGCGTGCAATAATAAAGAGTTTATATTCTCTTTATTGACAAAGTATATGCTCCCTTTGTCTCATTTTATCTGTCATATTTATTATTTATTGGTCAAATTAAATATTGTTTCTTTACTTTTTTTTATTAATTTTTTTTTTGTGTGTTTTATAGTACTTTTAATATAATTTCTAAATATATAAATTTTATATAATGATACTAAATTTAAAGTATGAAAAATTAAATTCAAAATAATTTAAATCAATCGTCGTTAACTGAACTAGACACATAATATAGGACGGAGTGAGTACTATTTAGGAGCAGTTTTTATATTGAATTTAAAAATATTGAATTTAAAAATATTAAAAATTAAAAACATTAAAAATTAAAAATATTAAAAAGATGCAATACATTGTAGATTTTAACAAAATAGAATGAATTTTCAGTATTCAGTACTATAAAAAATGTCAACATTATTTTATAAAATGTACAGTTATGTTGATAATTTTTTTTTTGTTCGGTGATTAGAGAAATCTATAGTTGCATTGGGTAAATTGTATTTTGTATAATAGTATGCAAATCACAGAGTAGATAAATGATAAATCACAATAAAAATGTGTTAGCAAAATATAAACTCGTAATATTTAAATATAGAAATTGTGCTTCACTTAGATCGTCTCCATCAATGGAGTTTGCTCAGTTTTTTAGGAGAACATAGCTTACGTGGATGAGAGAGATAGAGGGGAGAGAAGATTTTGGGTTTTGCTGAAGGAGCGGGTTTTTGTCAAGCATGTGCCCCCCCCCCCTCCCCCCCCCCCCCCCACCCCAAAAAAAAAAAAAAAAAAAAAAAAAAAAAAACACCACACTGTCTCGCGCCCAGTTGGGCGTGTAAATCTTTATTGGGGATGCTCTCACTCCATCACTTATTGGCGTGTAATTTTTTTATTTTTTTCTTCTCTCACATTTTCTCTTTTCTAATCATACCTGTAAAAACTTTTCAGAAACTACAACTGTTGAGAATACTCTTACTCCATTATTTATTGAGTTATTTCAACTAAGTTATTTATAATTTATAAAGGGAAAATGACACTTTTTCCTCCTAAGTTATATACTTATAGCACTTTTTCTCCCTGAATTATTTAAGTGGCTCTTTTCCCCCCTAAAATGTTAAATGGACATATTTACCCTTAAAATAAATATTTCATTTATTTTTCTTCTCCAACAAATTATTACTATAATTTGGTTCAAACCAAACAGATACTATAGCAACCAAACCAAAATATTCCAATTACAATTTAGAATAAAAAATGTGATATTTAGAGTTTATTAAAATCGCAAACCGGAATGGCCGGTTCATGTTCCGAACTGAAAAAATAAAATGCATTTATTGTTGAATTTAGACTATTTTAAAATAAAAAATAAAATAAAATTTTAAAATAAAGACGGTTCAAAATCGCGAACCGGATCCAGAACCGCCGGTTCACGGTTCATGATCCAGTTTTTTTGGTTCATAAATTTAATAAATTAAAATTCAAATATTGGGTTCTAGATCTGAATCATAACCGAAAAGTTTTAATTCGATTGCTATAGTGTCCGGTTTAGTTCGAACCGAACCGTGGTCATTGCTACATATACACAATAATTTGTTGGAGAAGTAAAATAAATAACATGCTTACTTTAAAGGTAAAAATGTTAATTTAATATATCAGGGAAAAAAACCACCACTTTTAAAATAATTGAGGAGACTAATGTACTTATATAAATAATTAAGAGGGAAAAAATGTTATAAGTATATAACTTAGGGGGAAAATGTTTCTTTTTTCATTTATAAATAAAATAGAGGAAAAAAAAATCTAGGAACTTATGAAACAGTTGTCGTTATGGGAGAGGTGTGGTCTATTTAGTGGTACATTGAAAGAGGTGCCACATGGGCCCACATGAACCAACCCCCATGGACCGACGCAATTTATTATGCTGCATCTTCAACTTCTCCAAACAATATTGCATCAATTTCCTCAAATAAAATTTCAAAAATGCGAATTCAATCCCTATCTTGAACTTATCCAACCAAAAGTATTTTAAGGAATCCAATATTATGGGATATTGTTCCGTTGTTCCATTGTTCGCAAAAGGTTGACACTCCGATCCTAAGGGTCCACCACGTCCCCAACTCGATAGAATATCTGGGATGCTGTAAATTATAGTAACTCAGCTAAATACAGAGACTAGATTTTTGCTTACTGCGTACAAATGTAAATTATAGTAACTCAGCTAAATACAGAGACTAGTTGTTTATGCGGACAATATTATGAGATTTATGCATATTGCTTGTGTGTATTAGTAGTGGTGTTTTTTATATTAAGTACAAGTATATATATGATATATGGATTGTATTGAATTTGTCAATACTTGTCCTCATAATATACACTCTATTAGATGTATTTGTGTGATTGTATCTAGTACCCAAAAAAAAAAAAAAAAAAAAACATTGGCTCTAATTGGCATTGATGGGGTATTGAGCTTTGGACTAGAGGATAATTGGGTCCAATTAAAGGGGTTAGGCATATGTGTACGAGTAGGGGCACATAGCACGGGTACACCTACACGAGGTCATGCACAGGGGTCTATGCAGGGCGAGCAGAGTGTGTACTATGCTCGGATAGCCATCATGCATTACATGCAAATGAAGGTGGTTGCATGACACATCCCATGCCACAAAGTTTTTGGTGGAGTAATTAACTGTCATCTTGTTGCAATTGTTGACATACTTGATACTATACATTTCAAATAACATATATAATTATATTTGATATAAAATACATTGATCAACATCTTAAAGATTTGTTCCAAATGAGTATTTTGCATACTTTTATGACTTTTATCAAATTTATTATGTAAAATTTTATGGTATATTAGGTATGGACATTATATTCATAGAATAATACTCCACCTTAGTTCATAACAAATACATTGTACTTGGTTGATGGTTGCGGGCTCTTGAGTGATTGTGTGGGGACCACATTTTATTGTAGATTATAAGGCATAATTATATGTTAAAATACTTAAAAAAACAAAGATTTTATCTGTTCCTCCTTCAAAAAAAAAAAAAAAAAACAATTTTGGCATTGTTTGGCAATTAGTTTAGTAGTTTATAAAAAAAATATTTGGTAAAATTAACAATTTATGAGTAGTGATTGATATGTGAAAAGATGTATAGGACATGCACATATTTTATAAAAATAAACCAATTAAATATGACATGAAGTCGAAAGAGACGGTAAGTTGAATTTGGAAAAACTATACTATTGGAGATGTTCTAATAGCTTTTGGTGTGAGTCATTACTTTTTTTTTTTTTTTTTTTTTTATAGTTCTATTTTTTTATTAATTTATTTAAGCAAATTACCTTGTGGTCGGATGACATCTCCATACTTTTTTCGAATCTCATTTTTGTTTAGGTTGACATAATTATTAAACAAATACTATGAATAGATTATGGTGTACTAAAAAAATATTTATTTAAATAAACTCGTCACCACATTTTTAAGTACATTTTAATCAATTAGTCTGTATTAAAAGTAACTGATTAATAACAAAAAGTAGCTAATTAATTGACTTAATTACATCAATATACAATTTAAAATAGGGTGAAGTGTCAAATAGCATCATGAACCAATAGCAAAATGTCATGCCGCACCCTAATCTTACATAAGTGATTATTTGGTTCACAAACCAAAAAAAATTGTTCGCCTAGCCTTTTTTACAGGTAGCCTTCAAGTTAAAGGTAATAACTTGATGATGTGGAAGTGATTAGGCAGACACTTGTTTTGTTTTGTAGATGTGGCAACCATTTAAGCAGTTTAATTGACTTTCTAGCCAATAGCCATTCATTCGACGACAGAAGAGGAAGGCCGGAGGAGAGGTCCAGCCGCGCCACTGCCCCATTCCGCTACCGCCGACGCTGGTCCGCTACCGCCGACGCTGGTCCGCCGCCACCGTCGAAAGTTGCCAGCTTGCACTGCTTCCGGCTGCTGCCGTCGACGAGGAGAGAGAGTAACCATGGAGTCGTTGCTGGTACCCTAAGTAATCGTTGCAAGAAAGCAGTAGAATTTGGGGGAAGCAATAGAAAACTGAAAAAGCCAGGCAATAGCTTATAAAAGCAGCCAACCAAATAAAACTAAAAAACAAACACAAAAATCTCATTTCATAAACAAAAATAACAAGGCCATTTAAGCTCACCAGCAAAAAGCAGCCCGATTCCGACTCGAAAAACTTAAAACCAAGCGGCAAATCACCGGGGAGATACACACGTGTATATATGAAGAACAAATGAGAAAGTGAGATGTTTGAAATAGCAGAGAGAGTCAAGCCAGGAAGTGTTTTATGGTTTTCGCACGGGAGAGAAAACACAGTTCCGAAAAATCCTTACTTACACAGTTCGTAGGATATGGCGAATAGGATCCAAGATCAAAGGTTTCTTGTGTGGCTGAATTGGTAGAGGAAGGAGATATTGTTGGGAGCTGACCAGTATAAAGGGATGTATAATCGAGAATTAAAGAATGAACTCACCCCGCAGCAATTCCGGAGGCGGTGGCCGGACAGTTTCTTCTCCGAGCAGCAACTTCGATTGATAGCAGCTTTCGTTCAGCGGCGACTACCGTAATAATCTGGACGACGTCGGCGTACCTGGTTTGGCGTCAGTAGCCTTCGTTTCAAATATCTGTTTGAGTGTCGAAGGGCAAGGAATCGAAGGCCGGCAATGGAAGAGAGGCCAGTGGAGGTTGGGGATAGTGTAGAGGCGGTGCCTGATGGTGCTGAGGCGGTGGTCAACGGCGAGGCGGAGGAGGGTGTCCGGAGCAGTCCGCGACGTAAGTCTAGCAGAGGGAAGACGGAGTAGTACTGTAGAAGAACAACTAGGCATTGAATTTTTTATTAATTAAAAAAATAACCCAAAACTTTCTAAAAACTTCAATTTGGAACAAATTAATAAAAACAAACTCCACGTCAGATAAATACCGGCGCCATGTCATTAGGGATACCGGGAAACCTACAAAAAGTTCTAGGCGGACAAATTTTTTTTTAGTTTGTGCGCAGAATAATCACTTATATAAGGTTATGGTGCGGCATGACATTTCACTATTGGTTCATGGTGCTATTTGACACTTCACCCTTTAAAATATATAGGTCAAAGTATTTATGAGGTCATTGTATTATAGTATTTTCTTCAATTTAGTCTTCTACTTTGATTTAGTTCAATTTAGTCTATGTACTTTTAAAAGTAATACTTGTTGGGTAATAAGGTTGAAAAATCCCAAAAATAATAATCCTACGAAAAGATTAATATTATATGGGAAAATAGAAAATCTGGGAAGGAAAAGGTGGAGTGTTTGGATATAGGTTAATTAGCACGAGTTCGAACACGAAGTTCTTTTCCTTAAAACCTTATTTGCTACATCTCACAAGTGCTATGAGCGTTGTAGCCTAGGTTTCCCAGGATAAAACGTGCTACGATTCGTTGTTTAAGCACCTAAACAAGGAACCCGGCAAACAAAGCAAAGCAGTGAACACAAGTTGGTAAAGAAGAGAGTAAAAGTAGAGTTTTGAGAAGCTGAAAGCTACTGGAATTCCTTTCGTTTTCTGTACTGTATAAAATGCTTCTACCATACCTCTCTTTATATAGGGCTGTTGGAAGGGATAACATTCAACATGGCCTTTAATTGGTATTAAACCAATTGTGTAACACCTGTAACGGTCACCCACTAAGTAGGATTAAACTCAGAATTTAAAATTGGAATTAAAACAGTATTAATTCCGTAACAGATGAGTTTAATCTGTACAACAGGCTGAACTTTCGGGTTTCAGACCGTTGGGGTGCAGGTTCACACGAGAGCACACGGACCAGTCAACACGAGAGTACATCTCTCGTGCGCGCTGTGGTGCAACCCGAGAGTGCACTACTCTCATGGTCACAGATGCACGAGAGTTGTGCTCTCGGTGCACCACAACCTCTCTTGCTCCTCTGTAGCACGAGAGTAGGTGCTCTCGGTTCAGTTCCGGCCGAACCAAGTGACTATACCAGTTGGAAAATGATACTGAAGTTTGGCATAACTTAGCCCGCAAGGCCAGCCAATTTCCGGACGACATTCGTGCCCGCAGGTGCCGGCGCACGCGAGCTCGGGCTCAAAGTTTGGCATAACTTAGCCCGCAAAGCCAGCCAATTTTCGGGCCCGCAGGTGCCGACGCACACGAGCTCGGGCTCGAAGTTCCGGGCCCGCAGGTGCCGACGCACACGAGCTCGGGCTCGAAGTTTGGCATAACTTAGCCCGCAAAGCGGGCCAATTTCCGGACGACATTCGTGCCCGCAGTTTGCGGCGCACGCGAACTCGGGCTTGAATCAAGCCTTTTCGATCTCCTCTAGTTAGATTTTGATTTGCACCACCCCCCCCCCCCCTCCCCCGCGCGCGAGAGAGCCTCTATGCTATACAATTTTACAAGCTTCAAAAGAACTCATGTATATAAGGGGGGCAAATCTTGTTTCCAAACCAATGTGGGACAAAGTCCTCTATTTTCCTTCATTTCCCAACTCAAATGGGTCTACTTTGAGAATCAATATCTCATTCACCCATTATCCGTTTTGAGCGTACAATATATCAATCTCTTCGTCTTACTACGAAGAATCCGAATCCACTTTGACCCGACCCAAATCGAAAGTGGACCCCACTGATAATTGTACCACAAAATAGCCACTTAATATGTCATTTTATGCCATTTAAGCTAATTTTTCCAACAATACTCCGTACAATTAATGACAATAGCTTATGTGACGTTGACATCATCTCTGTCACGCCATCATGCCTACTAGTATATTATTTTATAAATATTTAAAAATAATTAGTTTTACCACCAATATATTACATTAATATGTCTAATAAATAAACAAATAAATAAATAAATAAATAAATAAATAAATATATATATATATATATATATATATATATATATATATATATATATATATGAGTTAATTCCAGCAATGGTCCTCCGACTATTGCGATTTTCTAAAATTGGTCCTCGTCTTGTAATTTGGACGAAACAGACCATTCACTATTAGATTTGTTCCAGCATTAATTTTTTCGTTAAGCATCCGTTTGTTAGGTGTTAAGTAGAGGGGCATAAATGTAATTTTTTTTAAAAAAAATTATTATTAAAATTTATTAAAATTTATTTAAAAATATTAAAAATGTCAACTCAGCTACCACGTAAGTAGGTAACCGGCTAAAATTGATTGTAACCTGCTATCAGGTGAAATTGTATATATTTATTCAGTGGCCCAATTGCACTTTTTTTTTTTTTTTTCGTTCAGAGACCTAATTACATTTTCAGGTTACATTCAGTGTCTAATTTGAACCTTATTCCTTTAAAATATATAGGTTAAAGTATATATGAGTTCCTTATAAATACATATATATGTGCTCACATTAAGATTTGAGTGTTCAAATCTCAATGTAAGCATGTATATTTGAATTTATTTTAGACATAGTAATATAATATATTTTCATATTAATAGTAAAAATAATTAATCTTAAATATTTATAAAATAATAGATGAGTTGTCATGTAAATAATCTCACCCAAAATATTTAATCTGACATTAATCCTATATTCTTCTCTACTAGGGATGCTCTAAGTACGATGACGTGGTAGAGATGATGTTAGCGTCACACAAGGTTGAAAAAATCGCTAGGCGCATGGGGACTGCCTAGGGCGCTTAGAGCGCCTAGGCGGACGCCTAAAGCGATTAATCGGCGCCTAAAGCGCCTAGGTGGCCGACCGCCTAGCGCCTAGGCCCGATTTTTGCAACACTGGCGTCACATCAACTATTGTTTTTTTTTCTTTCTTTTTTTTTTTTTGTTGAATGCATCAGCTATTGTTCTTAATTGTTTCACTTTTTAAAATATATGATTAAATAAAATAAAATAGAGATAAAATGACTAAATTAAACAAAAAACTATACTTTTTTTTTTTTGGTGTAAAACCACAAAGTGTTTCGGGCCTTTCTCCGTTCGTCTTATGATCGGGTGAGGGAATCATCATTTGTGGGTCAAACTCGGATCAGTGCTTATATCGTGCACCCCGTCCTACCCAAAATGACGTCGTTTTGGTGCATTGTCAAAAAAAATCTTCTGTTTCGAATACACATAAATTCATAACAGAATACACAGAAACTCATAACTGAATACACATAATCTAACATGATACATAATACACAGAAATTCTTAAATGAATACACATAAACTCATAACACTATACACATAAACTTTTAACTGAATATACATAATGAAATTTGGTCTGTTTAGACAAACAGAGTGATGTCAGCAATTGAAACGCACACATTTTATACCTGGACGCACATTGCTATATGCAGCACAATATAAATTGTCAAGTCAAATTATCTCGAAATTCTTCCCACAGAAAGCTCATTTGCCAACAAAACTCTATACTACAAGATGTTAATACTTACTTTGACCAAAATATACATATATCAAACTTTCTTACACGTTAGATTCAACAAACAAAAGGTTGTTAAAATAGCGTCCTTCTACAAAAAATTGCAATTTTTTTTTTTAATAACCAATTTCATATTGAATTCGCCGTCTTTATCCATCTTCTCGACTTTCTAGTTTCTACCTGGCCAGCAAAACGCAAGTTTAAAGCTCCGGATCCACGACTCAGTGATCGCCATCAGCGAGAAATCGAGAGAGGAAAACAGCAGAAATGACGTTGAAACTGTACGTAGATCGTATGTCCCAGCCTTCTCGAGCTGTTCTTATTTTCTGCAAGTAAGATTCTTGTTTCTATTCATGACAACTCAGCAATTTTGTCCCTTCAAAACATTTAATTTCCACTATTTTCTTATACAGTACAAATTTTTGTTTGAATTAGTGAATACCCACTTTTTTTTTTTGTCATTTAATTCGTGTTAAAATTAATGTTTCTTGAATTTTTATTTGGTGAAGGGTGAATGGGATAGATTTTGAGGAGGTCATAATACAGCTTGATAAAGGCAAGCATCGGTCTCCTGAATTCCAAGGTTTGTGTGTTTCTGAGGTTGTTTTCTTCACTCAAAACTGTAAAATAGTTTTTGGTTGGGAGGAAGGAATTAGGAATTTAGGGAGAAAAAAATTGTAATTCGATGGGATAAGAACAAGGTTTGAATTAAGTAGGAATTCAAATTATTGGTATGGAGGAATAGAATTATTGGGAATGCGGAGGGAAGGAATGATATAAAGATTAAAATGATCAAGTGTAATAATGTAATAATAGTAAATTGAGGGTAAAAAAGTCATTTTTCTTATCTCTTTCCCTTCCATGCGACGTTGAATTGGGATTTATAGGGAAATTTATGAATTCCAATTCAACAAAAGGTGGAAATTGCAATTCCCTCCAACCAAACAATGTAATTTAACAGGCTAAAGAATTGCATTGTAAAAGAATTACTATTACGGTATACCAAACACCTCCTAAAGTTTAGAATTTTCATGATTGCAAAGCAACCCAGCTAACTTGGTAATCATAAGGTTCAAAGTTTAACTCTAGAAGTGATTTATTGATCTTATTGATTTGAGCTGATAAACTGTTGGTAACCTAGACTCGGTTTACCTTTTCAAGAATCCAAGTTGGTCAAACAGTTGGCTTAGTAATTACAAAGTTTCAAATTAGACTTTTTGTGGGAACTGTCTATTGGCTTTATTGGTTTGAGCTAATCAACTATGGATAGCCTAGGTTGGTTTAGCTCTTTGTGGTCCTTTGCAGGTTAGGGTTTCTTTAGATAATTTATGTTTTCTTTGGCATTTTCATTGCAGAAATTAACCCCATGAAACAAGTGCCTGCAATAGAGGATGGAAGATTCAAACTGTTTGAGAGGTACTAGTATTTTCTTGATTTCTTAGTAGAAACAATCTTTATTGTTTCATTTCATATTCTTCACTGTTGGGAGCTTGGCTATGGAAGTATAGAGTCAAAATGGACATATTTGGCCTCTGCAATCTGCATTGTGGGTGTGTGATTCTCTGTCCAGGTTTAACTGCAATTCTACTGAGGGGGCAATGGTAGATTTACCTCTTATGATTATTTACCATATAATAGTTACAGTTCCTTGGTTGACCATGGTTATGAGGGTATAGTCTTAGAGATATATTGCACTCCCATTGTATTGTTCATAGGTTCCATAACTCACCCTACACCGGATCTTATATAAAAGTTTAAAACTTCCAAAAACAGTATTTGAAAAAAGAAGAGAAATAAAAAAATGTTAGGTTTTAGTTTTATGACCGAGTTTCAATAACACGCTTACTAACCACTGTTGTGTGCTTTTCAGTCATGCAATTCTCAAATATCTCGCTTGTGCATTTCCTGGCGTCGCAGATCATTGGTGAGTTTGGCTGCTGATGACGCTTTTGCTAGCTTAGCTGTGCTGCCTGATTTCTACCTGCCTAATGCATTGTCATCTTTGAAGGTACCCTGCTGATCTATACAAAAGAGCAAAGATAGACTCGGTGTTAGACTGGCACCATGCTAATTTACGCCGTGGTGCAGGTGATTTACCCTTTTTTTTAAAAAAATTTTTAATAATAAAGATTGCTTTGTCTGTCTGCTCATGACTATGATTAAAATAATTACTCTTAAAAACCGATGCTAAAAGAAATATAGAGTATCAAATTGGTGTCGTTTTCATCATCCCAAAAATAGAAGCATGTGTACATGAATTACTTCTTCATAGGCTTATGGGCTATGGCAGGTGTGAGTAAATGTTAGTATAAATACTAGGCTGCATTGTCATGGTGAACAAAATGCAGCTGGCAAGTGTGTTATAAAGTATAGGCTTCACCTATCTAGTTTTCCGTTCTTCGTTTTCAAATCGGAGATGTACAAATAAACATGTTCTCTGTTTTCATTTCTCCAGTTACTAAACGCACCCTATATCTGTCTTTATCACAAATGAGATGGTGGTAAACTACTAACATAAGTCGGTTGAATTTGCAATTGCAACAAATTTTTTTATTTTTTTTTTTTCAGTTGGGTATGCTTTAAATACTACACTTGCACCTGCACTCGGCTTGCCATTGAACCCACAAGCAGCAGCCGAAGCTGAGAAAGTCCTGTTGGCATCCCTTGATAAGATCGAGTCCTTTTGGCTCCAGGGAAATGGACGTTTTCTGCTGGGAAGTACCCAACCTTCGATTGCAGACCTTAGCTTAGTTTGTGAATTAATGCAACTCGAGGTAGGGGAATATTGCTTTTGTCGTTTTTGTGGGGAAGTGGTTTGTAGGATTGTGTGGCTTTCTTTGCTGAGATAATGCGGCTTTAATGAGAGGTTTTGGCGATTCAGGTTGTGGAAGAGAAGGATCGGGGAAGAATACTAAGCCCGTACAAGAGAGTTTTGAGTTGGATTGATGATACGAAGAAGGCGACGACTCCACATTTTGATGAAATACACACTGTTCTCTTTAACGTCAAAGCCAGGCTGCAGAAACATAGATCTGCAAAAGCAAACTTGCACTCAAAGATGTAAGACATTGTGGTTAAGTGATACTGACCTAAAGTAATGTTCTTGTAAGTTTGGTCCTCAATCTCTCAAATGTACCAAATTAGATCCCTCAAAAGTCAAAAAGTAAAATGCCTTTTTGTTGCTTGAAGCGATGAAGAAATTTATTAATTATCGAAATGGTCTCTTGATTATAACAAAATTACTTATTTGGTCCTTTTGACTATTTTTTTTGACAAAGTCCTTCAAATGTACCATTTTCTCTAAAAAAGTTAATTACTGAAATGATCTCTTGATTATAGTAAAATCATCAATTTGGTCTTAAGTTAACAGATATCATCTAACGGCAAAACAAATGGAAGAGCAAATTGGTTAAAATTTTTAAAGTTGAGAGACTTAATTAGTCAAAAAAATAGTAAAAAACTAAATTGGTAAATTCGTTATAGTCAATGAACCATTTCGGTAATTAATGTTTTATTAATCTATGAGAAGTGTTGGGCACAACCTGGCCAAAGAATGGAAAAAGATACTCAAAGAACCAAGCCCTAAAGAGAAAAATCTGAGATTAGCATAAATCTAGTGAAAGAAGTCCATTCAATCACACCAGATCACCTTGCACCTTGGAGAACTGGCATCCATCTGCTACACCAAACAACATTCTTCTGCAACAGCAAACTGCACTGCCACATCTCCTAATTACCAAATATCATCATCAGACACATACACATGTACAACCGTCAAATAAGTTTCCGTACCATACTTCTTTACTTTTAGTGAAGAGGATTGAACCCGACGAGCTACTTCTGGTGCTGCTTGCTTCATAGGGTTGGTAATACACTCTGTTCAACCCATGAACTGAAGTGCTAGAGATATTAACACTAGGGAGAAGCCCTGCTTTCCGATTTCATTAAGTGACATCAATAGTTCAGTATATCCCCATTTTAACACAAGGATTCTACTAATGTTTCATTCGCTTGTTCTCTTAACGCCCCTTCTCCAATAGTTTCACAACCATATATTAATTTATCAGGATCCATACCCTTAGCCATCATTTCATTTCATCACACGGTGAGGTGAAATCATCATTGATCTTTCCAGTAATCTGCCACAACCATTTAGAAGTGATGTAAAGGAGACATTTAAGCTTGCTCTGGTAGCATCCTCCATATATACTAATGATGAACTGATCTGGATTGACCATCTTTCCCAATGACACTCCAACAAATTCATCCTAGCATCCCCAACCCAATCCATAACTAATTTTACTTTTGCGATTAGGCAAAATATGTTCAAAATAATCCGGACCATAAAGCTTTTCGTGTTTCAAATTTTCAAAGGAATGAGTTAGCTTACCAATAAATAGGCTTTCATCTTCTATTTTTCTTCAAAAGTGATGCGGCTTGCAGGATCATCCGATCAACTTCATCTAGATCTGGTGACTTCGCATCTCTACCTTGCAATTTCTCTTTCCTTGAATTAGCAGATATTTGACGCAAATGTTCCTCAAAATCATCTGTTTCCCCATTGCTATGAACTGGGAACTTTTCAAATGCATTCAAATATAGAGGTTTCTCATTCCTCTCCTCATTCTCTTCCTCAGACTCTGTCTCAAAAATATCTGAAAGATCTTCAGAATCTTCACCTATATCAGATTCCATCATTGGATCATTTTCATCATCATGTTCACCATTTTGTGGCATTACTTCATTCAGTTTTTTGGTTGCCTCAGTTTTCAATTGCAAATGGTGGTCAGAACCATAATCCTCAGAGCCAATTAATTGGTTTTCTTCGGAGAGAATAGCTTTATTTTCTGCTTGTGCTCGAAGCAACTCAAGATCCTGCTCAAGTCTAGGTATATATCTCCTAAGAGCTCTCAAGGCATCCCTGTATTTGGATTTATTCAGAGCCTGTAGTCAAAGAAATACGAAGGGACCCTCATTGGTTATAGCTTCCAAAGTAACCTTATGAGTAAACCAGATAAAATACATTATGAGAAGTAATTAAGGAATAAAGAACCTTATTCCTGGAAAGAGTGCTTCTGGGGGACATTATCTCGGTTGGTGGTTGAGCATAATTCTTTCCCCTATACATAATAATGGTGTTATCATCCTGAATATCAAGAATGATGCCACCACTCAACCGTGCAAGTTCTGCGGCAATTTCCTTAACCTCTTCTGGAGAGAATGTCTTCACAACTACTTTAAGTGTTTGGTGCCTCTTCCAATGCAGGTGCATATTAAGTATCACACCCTGGTATATCCCACGTCTTCCAACAGGCACATAATTCTTGCACTTCTGCCCCATCTTCAAAAAGTAGAAGTGTTCTTCGGGTGTCAATATCTCTGGATCATGGGTAGCTTCTGATGTCTCCTTAGGTTCAATCTTCTCTAAAGCTTCAAGAAGCGTTTCTTCTTTTTTGCGAGCCTATGGCAAAGATGAAATTAGCAGCCAATAAGCTTTAAAGTTACATATTAAACACAGAATTAATGCACTCCTAGCCTCCTAATTTACCTTCCTCAGGGTAAATTAAAATCAATTAGTATTCACAAGCTTCAAATTATACCATGGAGTGATATCTTTCTGAGAAGTGAGAATCAAACAACTCCATAGCATAAAAAACCAGAATCAAAAGCTCTATGTAACCCAAAATCACACCAATCATTCAACTTCAATTCAAGATCAGTAACATATAAATAATTGTTCCATCACTGCTAAAACATTAACGGAACGCATAAATTAAGTAGAGCTGACAGCATTATTATGTAAAAACTTCCTAAGACAAACAATATTTCCATCTATAGAGAAAATAGTTCCTAATTCAAGTTTTTCTAGTACCAATTTCTGTTTCACTTCATGAATCATTGAACCAGGTGTTTACCTTTCTCAACTTGTAAACCAATTTCTCCTCAGCAGTCATCCTCTGGAACTCTTTCTTCTTCTTCCACCTGAAGAACTTCAACCATCTCACCACTGCCCTTTTACCCTTCAGTTTCTTCCTCTTCACTTTAGCTTCCTTAGCCTGGCCAGAACCATCAGAAACAGCAATGCTTCCACCACCACCTCCTGATTCGAGAGCTCCGTGAGCTGTGCATAGAAACCGACTGAAATGTATCCGCCCGATATTGAGATTCTGGAATCCGTATTTTGGCCTGATTACAGTTCCTCTCCCGAAATCCTTGTATATCAGACCTCTTTTGGGGCAGAGTGCAGCGACATTGCATTGTTCTCGTGAACCATACGAGGATGACAATCGCACCGAATCAGATTCGAATACGGAGCTCAACAGACCGGATTGGAGATTGCTCGGAAACTTTTTCCGATTGAAAGAAGAAAATGGTGAAGTGCGGAAAACCCTTCTGGAGAGTGTCGACGCCATTGAAAGTGGGAGAGTATTGCAGGGATAAGGATAGAGGAGTAGAGGACTCACCGGCTAACTGAGCCAAGTGCGAAGAAAAATACAATCGTCGCTGAAAAATCGATGTTGTCGCCGGTTGCCCGTCGCTCGTCGCCGATGGTTTCTTAAGAATAAGCCGCCGCTGATTGTCGTCGGACTCGCCAGTCGCCGCGGACAAACAATGCGCCGCTGCCTGTTGTATACTTAGTTTTTTTTTAGTTAATTCCAGCAATGGTCCTCCGACTATTGCAATTTTCCGAAATTGGTCCCCGACTTTTAATTTGAACGAAAAAGATACTTGACTTTTGAAGTTGTTCCAGCAATAGTCCTTTCATTATCCATCCGTCCCTTCACTGTTAGTTTAGGGGCCAAAATAGTCTTTTCATCTGCTTGCTCTCTTTTCCCTCATTTTCGATTTGACGCAGAGAAGCAATAGGAAGAACTAAATACAATTGAAGTCCTCTCCGAATCTGGGAAGAAAAATTGAGAGTATTGGAGTGCTGATGGCGATTCCGATGAACCCGTACTTGGAACAGGAACTCGACAAGCGGTTCAAGCTCTTCCGATTCTGGAACTTCCCGCCGAAGAAGGAATTCCTGAGGGAGAACGCCAACGCGATCCACGCCGTCGCCGGAAACGCCTCCGCCGGGGCTGACGCGCTCCCCAAGCTGGAGATAGTCTCCAATTTCAGCGTCAGCTTGGATAAGATCGACTTGGCCAAGTGCAGGGAGAAGGGAATTCGGGTTACCAATACCCCCGACGTGTTGACGGAGGACGTCGCCGACTTGGCAATCAGGTTGATGCTGGTTGTGCTCCGAAAGATTTGCGAGTGTGATCGATTTGTGAGGACATGGTTGTGGAAGACGGGTGACTTCAAGTTGACTACCAAGGTTCAATCGCTTCTTTTTATGTCATTTTCTATAGACAAAGTACAAAGATCGAATTTTTAGCTACAGAGAACAAAACTGTGCTGGTTAAAATAGTTTAATTTTGGTCCTCTCTGCTTTGTTTTCCCCCTATATGCCTTCTAAGTGCTTGGTGAAATACTCTGAAATAATCTACATTCAGGACTAGAATTTTACGAAAGAATGTTAGAAGTTTGTTTAAAAGTATAGAGCTTGTATTCATTTAAGGATGGATAGTTTGATACTCATTCTAACCTTATTTGTTGCCACCATACTTTGCAGTTTAGTGACAAAACTGTTGGAATTATAGGGCTTCGAAGAATTAGTTTAGCAGTTGCCAAAAGAGCAGAGGCTTTTGATTGCTCAATCTGCTACCATGCCAGATCAGAGAAACAATGGAGTTCTTCCTATTGCTTCGCTGCGTCACATATACGGACGAAAATGAGGGAGAAGAGAGCAAGTAGATGAAAACACTATTTTGGCCCCTAAACTAACGGTTAAGAGACGGATGGATAACAGAAGGACTATTGCTGGAACAAATTCGAAAGTCAAGTGTCTTTTTCGTCCAAATTAAAAATTGAGGACTAATTTTGAAAAATCGCAATAGTCGGAGGACCGTTGCTGAAATTAACTTGTTTTTTTTTTTTCTTTTTTTTTTCTTTTTAATCAAGAGGAGGGGGTGACCCCGTTAGTTTTTTTTTTTTTTTGTATACTTAGTTTTGCTGGTTTATTTTATTTTATTTTTATTTTTCCAATTAGTAATTAGGGAACTATGGTATTTAGTCATTTAGGGATTTTAAGATATTTATCTTTAAAAAAAAAGGATTTTAGATATTTAAATATGGTTTACTTCGCCAATTATCATATAACGTGATGACATATTAGTTTGATTCTAGTAATTTTTAGACTAACGTTATAAAATTAGCACAAGTTTAATTTTGAATGATTTTTAGGCCTTATATTTAAAATATTTTTGGTTTAAATAAAATAAATATAATTTTACTTTTAAGTTAGTATATTTAAAATTTTTAAATTTTATATCCGAACCAAATTTATATTCGTATATAGGGCTTGTTTGGTTAACAGTTGATTCACTCATTTTTAGTGAATTTGACCATCTTTAGCAGCGGTTTGACCTAATCAAACCGCTAAAGAAGCTGTTTGGTAATCAACGGTTTAGAGCAACGAATTTGGCTCCAAACTGATTATGCAGCATTTCTAAAATTATTTGATTAACACCCTTAATCCTTTTTTTTTTTTTAATTGTTGCTAATTAAAAGGGAAGCCTTAATGTATGTTTAACAGATACTACAATATAATAGAGTCAGTAGCATTCAAAAAAAAAAAAAAAAAAAAAAAAAAAAAAGGAAACCTCACCTGAGGCTTATCTTCTCTTGCTCATCCGATGTGGGAATCGGATATGCAAGGATTAATAAGGGGGCGTTAGCTCCCCTTTTAATGAGAGAGCTCAACAAAGATAAAAAAAAAAAAAACTAAATTCAATATATGATCTTCAACATCAATCATAAAAGATCGCAAATCATAAACGAGCAATACAAGATTCAATTCAAATTAGTAATTAGTGATTCAAGACAAATAATAAATGACTAATTGCTTATTGTATGAGTTAATACCCGATTTGGTCCGGCGACTATGAGGATTTCACCGAGTTAGTCCTCGACTTTCAATTTTACACAATAAAGTTCCTTATTTTATAATCTTTACACAATTTAGCCCTATGTTGAATCATTTGTTAGTTGGCTGTCAAAAGTGATGGTAAAATTGTAATCTCATAATAAGTTTCTTCCTCACTTATCATCTCCTCAGCTCATCTCTTGTTGGTGGAGAAAAGAAATACTGGTGACTTACCAATAGATTTAGGCTTCTTGAATTTTTCATTAATGTAGCCTAAGATTGTCCCAACACACTCTAATAATCATCATGTCGTTTTCCCCAACTTATCCATCCCTCTCACCGTCTCAACTCTTTGTTATCTCCATATTCCTTTGCTCAATCTCTTTTTTCTTCTATGCAATCGCATACCTCCGAGCGGCTCGACTCCAATGATGACATTCCTCCTCCATCTCTGAATCTCTTATCTTCTCCTTTTAGCTACTTAGATTCTTTCTACCTTAGTTCATGATCCACATACACCCAATACCCACCCAATAACTCGTCTGTTTCGATCCAAGTCCTATCCCTTGGCCGGATTTAATCGATATCATTCTGTGCTCCGTTCTTGTGACGACGACAACGATGATGAACAAGACAGTGTAAAACTAATGCCACAAAGCACATTGCTGATCAAGATACGCAAAGCACGATACTTGTGGTGCTAATGGAGGCACTAAGAAAATCGGTAGTGACTTGCAGCGTGGAGAGGGATGACGTTACGGCGGCTAACACGGACATTGGCTGGCCCATTGACGTCTCCCAGGGCACATTCGATTGCTTCAATGGCTTTCTTGGATCGCACGATGAAGTCTAGCTAGACGTCCCACACAAAGTCCCCAGCGCCAGGTTTCATTTTTCCTCCGATCCCTTTCCTCCCTCCCTCATAATTAATTTCTTAATTAGTCCTTATTCACCTGTAACTTACCACTAATGAATTTTCCAGATCTGGCAATTTCTCTTTTTGTTAAAGATTACATTTTTATAGTTATTTCAACCTAAATCAAGATATAGGAGCACGGTCTAAAGTTCCAATACCTCAGCTACCTTCTCGCTTTACCTAGCTAGATTCCTCACCGCTGCCGTCTCATCAGCGTACATCGACAGCGCTGCTACTTGCAAATTTTGTTCCTCAGCAACACCCCGGTCAAAACTGTCGGAAGATGATTACATTGATTTAAGTCCTCCACCGCAGAGGCAGTTGCCGCGACTCGGCTGTACAAACATAAACTACTTAAAAGAATAACTATTTAAAATATTTTGTAAATATAATAATAGTTTTTCTCCCACAAAATCCAATGCCTAGAGGACCAAATTAACGTTGCACATCCGGAAATTTGTTAGATGACTCAACATTTGAGCTACATCTGTTTTACAAATTGGAGATGCAAGAAATTGAACCCCTCCATGCTTCTCAAATCAAATGCAAAGCAAGCGCTTTACCATTTGAGCTACATCCCCTACTAATGCTTTTGTAGTCAAAATACAATTTATATATAATACATGAAGAAGTATTTTAAAAAATGGCAAAACACTCTTATCAAAGCCAAGTTTCGATCCTGGGACCTGTGGGTTATGGGCCCACCACACTTCCGTTGCGCTACTCTGATTTTGTTTTAGTGTAAAATGAATGCAGATATATCATGTACTTTAATTTTTTCTCAACTAGGGTTTCCCTGAGTTTTTTTAGTGAGGTTTTAAAACAATGCAACGTCATGATGTACAGATGTAGTAATGTTTAGGGGGGGGGGGGGGGTGTTGTAAATAAACATATGTGAACATTACGTACTAGAGGAATTATTGTCTCTCTCTCTCTCTCTTTACTCTATTACATTCTTGAGATGTAAGCGATACAACTATTTACGGGAGAATATGTCACATTTTACAACACTTCACATATATAAAAAAATATAAGAAAATTTTACAATCCGAATTGAAACAGCAAAAATATGAACTATAGATCGAAAAGAATAACAATAATTTTGTAAATATAATAATAGTTTTCCTCCCGCAAAGTCCAATGCGTAGAAGACCAAATTATAATAGTCAACTGACAGAATACTTAACAGATGATTAAATTGAGAAAAAATTTGTAAAGTTAGGGACTTAATTGTGTAAATTGGAAGTCGAGGACCAACTCGGTGAAATCCTCATAGTCGAGAGACCAATTCGGGTACTCCTTATTGTATTGCTCAAATAGTAATTACTCAAATCGTGTTTGTGATTCAACGGGCAATAAAACTAATTGGAAGATGACCAATATAGGATCTTCAACACAAAGCATGAATGAGCTTTGCATGAGGAGAACGAAAACGTAAAACAGAATGTGTTCGTGAAGTTTGCACTAGTCCAAAATTGTGCATTAGAAGATACAACAATGTGCACTGGAAGGCAACAATGTGCACTACAAGGCACAACAATGTGCACTCGAAGGAAGAAACTATGTGCTCTAGAAGAAACAAAAATGTGCACTCAGAGAATGAAAAATATGCACTGGAAGAAGGAATATAGGTGTAGGGATGGAAATAGGTCGAGCTGAGTCGAATTTTAGAAAATCAGGTCTGGGCCTATTACGAAAATTTAAGGCATGGCCTGAGCCTGAGCCTAATATTGGTCTGGCCTGGCCTGAAGCCTTTTTAAAAGCCTGTTTAATATGCAGGCCATTAAAAATGTTTCAAAGTAAATCTTGATTTGAGCCTATTTAAAGCCTACATGTTAAGTCTTTTTAAAAACTTTAATAAGTATTTCTAAATTATTTAAGAAATATACCTAACACAAAATTAATACATAACTACATAAGTATATCACCACAATGCCAATATAATAGAATTAAAACATAAAATAAAAATAAAAAAATTCACGACTTCAGCATACTCGTTAACTTGTTTATGAATAAATTCAATTGTGATATGATGTATTATATTGTGTAATATTATTGTGAAAAATTAAAATGCAATGATCTGACCATTTCCTTTTCAATTTTAGTCAATTACGGATCTTTTTTTTTTCCACTCAATTATTAATATTCATTCCTTTTCCAATTAACCTAATTTCTGTCCCTTTTTCTATTTTTAATTTCCCGTCAATTATTAATATTCATTTCTTTTTTCAATTTACATAATTTCATTCCATTTTTAATTAATGATGTAGAATATTATTGTGAAATATTTCTGTTCTTTTTTTTTTTTCCATTCATTTTCTAATTTATATTTACTATTTACTATTGTTTGGGCGGGAAATCAAGTAAATATGATTTTATTTTTAATTATAGTGTAGATATATAATTTGATAAATATCATAAATAATTATTGTAATATCATTTCCATATTGATGGAATTAATTAAACCGGGGGTCCGACTTAACTAACCCGAATAAGAGTACGGATAATAAATGAATGATACGAATGGTATAGTAAAGGCCGTGAGACCGTAGATTGTATTAAATGCCGTGGAATTGGCTATTACAATGATTCTTCAGTACAAAGTGTGTCTGTCCAGTAGATCGTGTCCTAACTGGACAAGGTGGGAGGCTTTTATACGACCCCCGCCCCTAACCGCCACCCCCTAAAGCGGGGGGTGGTTAGATCCGAGTTGACCGCGCCCGGTCTCGCGATCGGGCCGTGCTGGGGGGCCAGGCCGAGCCCGTCATGGGCTCGGGCCGGGCCCATTTGGAGGTCGGCCCGGCCTCCGACGTGGCCCGTGCGGGGCCACGTGGCGAGGCCCCGTTCGGGGCGGGTACGCGGCGCCGCCCCGGGACCCGTTCTTGTCCGCGCCCCCGGGTCGGTGCGGGTCGATTCCTAATATATCCATCACATATATAATGAGCAAATGAGAAATAATTTAAATATGTGAGCTAATAATTTTGGAATGAAATTAATGTATAATTACTAATCAATATGGTATGATTAGCAACATTGTTTTTTTTTTTTTTTTTTGGATATTGTGATTAAAAAAACAAATATATTGTAAAAATGCATTCCGCTCACATACTTCTATTGTATTTACCGTGCATTTGGTCCAAGTTATCGCATTTATAGAGTTTCATTTTTTTTTTGAAGGGGATGTGATGGTAGAAAATGTACTAAAAATGAATTACAAAATCATTCCAAAACATTTCACATTAAGTTGAAGAAGGTGGTTAGAGAGAAATTTGAAAAAAAAAAAAAACCGACTAGAGTTGGTAAGAGTTAGAGATGGTGGCTAAAGAGAGTGTTAGAGACAATAGTAGCGAAAAAAAAAAATGAAGATAGAGGCCAACAATATCTCCACTTCTTCTCAGAATATGCCTAACTTTTAAACAAAGATAGAGGATTGGTTCCTAGAGTAAAAAGTTGCTATCGCAAGCTGGTAAGGAAATCCTATTAAAAAGTGTGGCTCAAGCAATGCCTACCTTTTTTATGGGAGTTTTTTTGCTACCTATATCTGTCTGCACGGCTATTGAACGAACAATGAATAGATATTGGTGGGGGACAGGAACTGACCGTGGTATTCATTGGAAGGCATGGGATAAGTTGTGTATCCCAAAGAAGTATGGGGGACTGGGATTTAAGGATCTAAGAGCTTTTAATCTGGCAATGTTAAGTAAGCAGGCATGGCGGATGCTAACTAATACTGACTCATTGGTATCTTGTGTTTATCGGGCTAGATATTATCCCAAACATACCTTTTATGAGGTAGGGCTGGGGAATAATCCCAGTTTTTGTTGGCGTAGTATTATGGCAGCTAAGGAACTGGTCTGTGGGGGAGTAAGGCGGCGTATTGGGATTGGAAATTCAACGCTAATCTGGGAGCACCCGTGGCTCCAGGATGAATTGGATCCCATGATCCATACTGAGATGGCTCCAGGATGAATTGGATCCCATGATCCATACTGAGATCCCACCCCAATTAGCAGGAGCTAAAGTAAGTGGATTGATTGATCCGGATACTGGAACCTGGGACCACCATATTCTCTCAGATATTTTCCAACCTAAGTAACATACCTCGTATTCTAAAAATACCAGTATCTCCGGAATATCTCCGGAATATGATGATGATTGGTATTGGCATGTGGATCTTAAGGGTACCTACTCAGTTAAAGATGGCTACAAGCGTATTGTAGGAAATTATACGAGTAGTAATGATGCTCGCTTTATGGAGATTAAAAATCCCCCCAAAATGGAAGACATTTTTATAGAGAGCTATAAGTGACATCTGATGGACAATTTTAAATAAGTCCTCGCAAGTGCACGAGTCATTGTAGCAATAGCGTGCAAAGGCAAGGGTCAATCCCACAGGGAATTGTACGATGCAATTTAATGACTTAAAATGACAAAAATAATTGACGAAATAATTGACTTGATAATTTAAAGGTTCAAAGCTAATGAAAAATCAAATACCAAATAATTGAAATACAGAATCAAATGTAAGATCTTTAATTGATCGACAACTTAGATGAATTAATGCAGAATGTTCATGATAAATAGTTCGTGTCCCTAAAGCAAAGAAAACTAGCAAACCATTCTAGAGATGCAATTCACCCACATGTACTGTCAATAATCAACTAACTAATGAAATAATGAAATTGTAAACTGCTAAGCAAACCCAATAGAAAAATGTTAATTGGCAAGACTAAGTTCAAAACTAGTGCAAACTTTCATAGTAAATTATTGATGTTCTAAAAATGCTCAGCCAAATATAATAACCATAACTAAAGGGCAAATGCAGTACATAAGATTTATCAACTCTCAAATTATAATAAACACTAGCAGCACCAAAACTAAATTAAAATCTTAAAACAAATTAAACACCTTAATTAAATCAAAGAAAAGGAAAAACAGTATTTGAAGAGAACAATGAAAAGTAAGATGCTGTCACCAAGGAAAATTCGCCAAAGCCAACAAATAATTTCAGCCACCGCCGGAATTGTTGCAGACCAGAATTCCGTCGTCGCCAACCTCTAGATAATCACCTCCGACCGAAATTGGTCCGAAGTGAAAACTGATCAGAAGCCTCCGGAAGTGGTCCGGAGCAAAATTGATGATCCTCTGATGTGAGGTCTGTTCTCTATTTATAATGTTCAGGCTGTAAACACAAAAAGCAAACTTTGTATATATTCACAAAATTCCGTGTACAGCGTGTGTATAATTCAATACAGGTACAAAATCTCTGTCTAGTCCTCTGATTTTTCACTGACGTTATCTATGGAAGTGCCTCCGGGATTCAATTGGAGCGTGCCTCCGGGATTCAAGTGGCGTAGCTTCCGGGATTCAAGTGGCGTAACTCCCAACAACGAGCGTCAAGAATTTAGAAGTAATCAACCCTGCAAAGTTTCAAAACACATGCAATGGATTCAAGCTGCTTTAAGATCCTCAAATGCCTTCAAAAGACTTCAAGATCTTTGAGACAATCAATTCTGCAAAGCTCCAAAGTACCTGCAATGGATTCAAATTGCCTGCAAAATCAACAAAAATGCCTTCAAATCTTCAAGCGTTCTTCAATGCCTTCAGGCTCTTCAAATGCTCTCAACTCCTTAAGTCTTCAAGTTCTTCAAGCTTTCAAGTGTGTTTTGGAATGAAATGAAGGCTCTATTTATACTAGAAGCCTAACCAACATTCCTCAACAAACTCCCCCTTTAATTAATTAATTAATTAATTATTTTAGAAAATGAACCTTGCCCAGAATCAAGTCCAGGTTCATTATCGTATAATCTAATTCAAATTCAAACTAAATTATAATTATCTAATCCAAATATAATAAAGTTAATATTATATTTAAATTATAATTATAATTTAAATTCAAATATGAAATGGGCTTGGGCCAACTAATTAATTAATTCAATAGCCCAAATCAAACTCAATTGGACTAATCAAATTAAATTAATTTCTATGATCCAATTAATCAAATTGGCCCAATCATCATTCTCAACATTGGCCCAATAACACTTTAATCGGTCCATTTATCGGGTTCAAATTTTCTGTGTCTTCAAATTGCCCCCTCGAGACTTGTCGGGACATGCGCCGTCTGATGTGTTTGGTGCGAGAAAGTCTCGAAACTTAACAAAACGGTCCTTTAAATCCATCGTGGTGCATCTATTTCCATGGGCCCAAATGCATGTCCGGATGTTTCGCGAACCCAAATCAAAGATTAAATTGCCACCAAATGAGCCCAAACCATTTTAATAACATATGTCTGGAATTTTTTATGAGCCCAAAAATCACTTATATAAAATAAAACCAAGTTTGGCCTCTAGTTAAGAGCAAATTGACCCTTATTGCAAAGTAACTGGAGCCATTCCATACGAACCCAACCACTGCCAGAATGACTTTAATTTGACCACACCTTTGTCCATAACCCATTAACTCATTTGCACAATTGGACCCATTAATTTATGTATAGTATTGTACCCCAACAAAGATGTCAGGGCGGAGGAGCCACGATTAATTTGATTTTGTTTCCATTAACCCATCAACTTTTTTTTTTTTTTTTTTTTTTTTGAAAGAACAAATCAATCCATTAGCTTCCTTCACCAAAAATAATACGTAACAACATAAGGAGAATCCTATTATAATTCCAACTCCAATCCTGATCGGAATTCAAAGTTTTGAACTCCTTGACTTTCGTAACCTAACTCAGCATCGTCTCAACATCAAACGCTCAAAGCCATCTATAAATAAGGTTGAATCCCATCATTCTACCACCGCGATCAATTTATTTATTTATTTTTTTTTAAAAGGAAGGTTTCAGAGAAGCTGTTCATAGTCCACCCTTTTAGTAAGGTAAAATCCTATTCTTAATCTCTTTATCTCCATCTTCTATATATATTCTACTTGCAGGATTTGTACGGCTGCAAAAAGAAAAAAAAAACAAAGGGGAGTCTAGGAACAACACAAACTGGGAAGCAACCTGGAAGCACTTGGTTTTTTGTTTTTTGTTTTTTTTTTTTGTTTTTTTTTTTTTTTTTTTTTTTTTGTTTTTTTGTTTTTTTTTTTCTTAAGAGGTTGCCGGAGTTCTTCACAGAAGCCGCCGGTCGTAAATCGCCGCTGGAGTCTGCTATCCAACTCCATTTCTTCACCGTGAACGTCGCCGGACCTTTTTTTTTTTTTTTTTTTTTTTTTTTTTTTGAAGTCACCAGAGACTACTGCTGCGCTGATCATACGGAACAACAAGCAATGAGTCGTCGAAGGGTTTTTGCTGCCCGCCGGAGTACTTTCCCGTCTATCGCAGGTCGCCGGAGCTCTTTTTCATCTGTTGCAGGAGATCCGTTGCTGCCGAAGGTTGCGCTATAGGCGCTCTGCAGCCGGAGTTCGCTACTGGGGATGGCTTGATGTCCATCACTGGAGCATTGTTTTTTTTTTTTTTTTTTTTCTTTTTTTTCTAAGCTGCGAGACCAGAAACCAGTATGCAGAAAGATAAGAAGGTATGCAAATGGAGTTCCCGACACTGTTATATGTGTTCTACCGCGGAAAGCTAGGTCTCATTGAGGAGAGGTCGGAGAAGAACACTGAAAGCAGAAGCGTTATATTTTTTTGCCTGCCAATGTGAACAGGAAAAAAAAATAAACTTATAGCCTCTGAACCCCCAAATAGTCAATCTGCCATCACCTCAAAATGCAAGCTGTTATATCTATTTCAACTAAAATTTTGAAACACCAGTTCGAACCCGTCGGAGCCCTCCCCTTGATGCACACCGTTATATACACTTCTGAAAGGCTCATGTTCCAGTCCACCTCTATTCCCAAGAAGCAGCAGCGGGTGCGAGACCATGGCTTTGACAACTACATGGAGGTGGAAAAGAAAATGCGCAAAGTCCTAAAATTCCAGGAGCTCATCCTCACTCAACCAAGCTCTATGATCTCGGTTTCTCGCTTGGACATGCCCTCACGCAGGCTTGGTTTCAAACAGTTTGAAGCAGGCCATTTCATCCTCAAATTCCCCCATGTTTTTGAGATTTTTGAACACCCCGTTCAGAGAACCCTGTATTGCAGGTTTACCCGAAAAGCTCACATGCAAATTGACCAAGAACATCAAGCCCTTTTTTGTTTTGTTTTGTTTTGTTTTGGTTTTTTTTTTTTTTTTTTTTTTTGCTTCGTTTTCTGATCTTTTCTTTCTTTTATCCTTCTGTTTATGCTTTTTTATTGTTTTTCTTTTCATTTTGTATTTTTTTTTTCCGTTTCTGTGCTTTGTCTTTCGTTTTTTTTTTTTTTTTTTTTTTTTTTTTTTTTTTTTTTTTTTTTTTTTTTTTTTTTTTTTTTTTTTTTTTTTTTTTTTTTTTTTTTTTTTTTTTTTTTTTTTTTTTTTTTTTTACTTTGCTTTTCGTTCTTTTTTGTTTTGCTTCTTTTTGCTAATATCTTAATAGTAATACTATAATATAATAATAATAATAATAATAATAATAATAATAACAATAATATTGATAATAACGATAAACATAACAATAATTATATAATATTGTGTACATATATGTATACAATGTATTAACATATGTAGTCCACATGTAGTATATTTATACAATCGTTATTGTATAGATCATGGTCCATAAAATTGTGTGGGCCATAGTTCAAAAATTTGCCATATATATATAATTTATCAATTTAATTTTGTGTTATGTATATGCTATATATTTGTACATAATATATCATAGTTATTGTTCTTATTTTTTTTTGCAGCGACTTTTCGACTTTGACACATTCAAGATGGTGTACTTTCAAGATCAACGACGTAACGGGCAAGAGGTCATGGTGATATCGAGCAGAAATAGCGATCATCAAGTCACATTAACGGTTAACCCACCCATAGTAATACGTGACCCGCCAAAGCTCACGGTGTCGTATCATGAGAGCAACTGGACCCCCGAGTATGAATGCCCGCCA